TCTCTCTCTCTCTCTCTCTCTCTCTCTCTCTCTCTCTCTCTCTCTCTCTCACACACACACACACACACACACACACACACGTGCCTGGCTAATGACCAAAATGAACACATTAAGATGTAACATCTTGCTAGGCAGTGGTGGCACATGCCTTTAATCCCAACACTCCAGAGGCAGAGGCAGGTGGATCTCGGAGTTCGAGGCCAGACTCTACAAGTTCCAGGAAAGCTAGGGCTACATAGAGAAACCCTGTCTCAAAAAACAAACAAACAAACAACAACAAAAAAAAACAAAAAGAAAGGAAGGAAGGGAAGGGAGAAAAGAAAGAGAAAAAGAACGGAAAAAGGAAAGGTAACATCTTAAAACCCCATTGCCTCATTTCAGAGTATTCCCTGATGGCTTGCTTCAGTAAGACTGCTGTTCTATATCAGACCTTGAGAAACCAGGGCTCACTCATGAGGCCCATGTGGAGGGAATCAGTACAAGAGCCTCACAGAATTAAGGGGCCTAAAGGGCCTGGGCCCTTTGCTCCTGACAAAGACGGCTGAAGTTGCTCCTGTAGAAAGCTCTCCAAGTGTGTCGGGGGAGGGAGGAGACCTTGCATTCTGGGAAAGGGTAAGAGAGATGTACCGCTGGGATAACATCACAGAGAAGCCATCTTAGGCAGTTAGGAACATGGGGAACACCTGTGGCAGCCATGGCTCTACAGTAGCCTCACCCATGTCTCAATAATAAAACACAGCTGCAGACATGGAGTGGTACCAGGCAGCAAGAAGTTTCTCAAAGTGTCGGCCATGGCCCTGGACAGAACTAGGTATAAAGGCAGAGGAACCTTTGCTTTAGACAACAGGAGTATGAACGTGTAGTGAGAACGCTCAGAACCTACGGCTGGATCAGCTTCTGGGTGTTCTGGGGGCCAGCTGACACTGGGCTGCCGTTCTGAAGCAGGGCAGGATATGCTTCAGTCGCCAGCCCTGCTAGGGACCTGCCCTTTTGCTAGACAGAACTAATAGCTCCATAAATGACCACGTGGCCAAAATGTCCCCACTTTGATTCTGCCCCTAAAAACATCTCAGCATTCAATGGCATCGGTCCAGGATCCCAACTACAGTAGCACAAATGTCTTTCAAAATCTGCATCAGGCCGGACACTCTGATTTTTATAATCATGCAAGTAAGTCTAGCTAGACCCATGATGTAACACTAGACTGCAGCCAGCACTTTTAAAATAATTTCCAACTGGCCTGGGAATGGAAACAGAGGGCAAGGGTTTATACAGGTCCCATGTCGGCCACATCGCTCTCCAGTGGATTGTTTTCACCCATAAGCTAGTACTTGTTGCTCCCAAAACTTCTACCTTCAATAATTATGACATTTAGAGGTGGATAGGAGCAAAAGGAAAGGGGAGGAGTCACTGTAAATAAATTCTAAAGGTTATATGAATTGGGTTTTGCTTTGACAACTTTGAGTCAAACAAGAGCATTTTCCCTCCAAGCTGACTTAAGAAAGCTGAAACACAACAAGGACCCATTCAGTTTGTGTACAGTGACCAGGGACTTCCAAACACAGCCCCAAAGGACACCTCAAAACAGCCACGGCACGCTTCCTCCAGGCCTGCCTGTCACCAGGACCAGATGACCCCCCAAGGCCTCTGGGCTGCTGGACTCACCTCTAGGATGCAGTCGACTCTATTCCTGGAGTACTAAGAGTGGCAGGTCTTCATGCTCATAAAAAAAATAAATCAGCTAAAAACTCTATGCCACTGCTCCAAGAAGTTCTCTTGTGAATATGTGTGACGTGCCCCAAAGAGGCAAGCTGGCTGAGCACCTGGGATCTGGCACAGGAGCTTGGAGCAGTTCAGTGACAGTCAGGTGTTCAGGACTGTCAAGTGACTCTCCTACAAAGTTAGGAAATCAGTGACATGTACGTGACAGATTAAGATTGGAGATTCTCTTTCTCCTCCCCCCATCCCCAAAGACCTCCTCTGCACTGCATCTAGACAGGAAGGGTAACAGAATGAGAGGGAGACACTAGCCCCTGGGGAGCATATTCCTAGGATACACAACTTCCTGAAGGCCAGAGAGTTGCCAAGGTCAGTGTGGGTCACAGGAGGTGGCAGTGGGCATCCAGGACCATACTGCTGGCACTCATATAGCAAAAGCCAAAACCCAGGAAAGAAAGTGGCTCTCATGTAGAGAGCCATGTAGACTGTACCAACCAAACATAGCTCAGCTTTGTGAACAAGTCCTCGGGCAGTGTGTACCAGCTCCCAGCAATGAGCCAGTCAATACCTTGTCCTTTGTTATAGCTTAGTGGTTCATTTTGTGTCAACATAAGTGTGAGTGGCTGCAGGTTAGTCACAGGTGTTGATTAAGCAAGTTTTGCACACACAAGTGGTAGCATTGCTGTCACAGGGACCAGCCCATTCACTGTGAGAACCCTTGCATGTGTATCTCTAGTTTATCCCAGAGCAACGCTGGCTGATACAACTAAGCTGGTATCAGATTCTGTCCTAGACCTTAGCAGCTGATTAAACTGTTTTAATATTTAGAGTTTCGTAAGAAGCAGCACTTTAGGCTGCAGTGAAGACAAAGGGGAAGGTTGGGCAACAAGCAAGGCTGACTGGTCCACTTGTCAAGCATAGAGCATAAAGGACACAGAAGCTCTCTTGTGTTCCCACAGAACACGAGCTGAGATTGAAGAAACATGCACACTCAGCCTTCATATTCAGATCTAAGTGGTAGACCCAGAGGAAAAAACAAAAACGCCCACGGCTTTTCATTGAGTCTCAAGAAGACTTGAGTTAACACCTCTTGCACTCAACACTTTACTTCAGAAACAAGTGTTATTCCCAGTAGAGAAAACAACAAGTCGGGTTGAATTAAGTCTTTAGGGGCTGGACTTCAGTCAATTGAGTGTCTGGAGTGCAAGCCCAACAACCTGCATTCGACCCATGCTGAAAAGCTGGGCAAGGCTGTGAGCACTTGTAATCTCAACACTGGGGAAGCAGAGACAGGTAGAGCCTTAAATGGCCAGTCGGCCTTACCTCATCAGAGTTCCTGCAGGTCAAGGGAGACAAATGTGCACACACATCTTTCCACGACTTGCCTAGCACACTGCAATAACCTTATCCATGCAAAGTATTGACAGAGCATTGCCCGCACTAGGCACAGCAGAGCCCCTGCCCACCTCTTCTCCAAGGCTCAAATCAGCAAAGTAGGAGGAAGCCAGACCTGGGAACCAACTCTGAACAGAAGAAGAAAAGGGAGGAGTATCTGACTCCACTGGTTAAGAATTAAGGAGTCATCAAGTAAAACAGTGGCCTCAGAAACTGAGAAGGAAAGAGCTAGAGAATTCAGGATTTTACACAGGGAGTCACGAGTTGGAAAGGGTTCTTGCCCAGACTGAATTATCAGCCATGCTAAATAAGCATTTTCTGTTTATAGTGGTAGGGGGAGGAGAAGCAAGTTCCCATTACTAAAAAGTGACTATAGGAGAACTTAGGGGCCAAGAAAGATGGAAGGTTATTACAAGCCAGTGCACGGGAGCTGCGCCATTCTCAAGCACTTGCGAGAGGCTTCTAGGCTGTGCTGCTCCCATTACAATGCATGGAGATGACATCACAAAGCCACACAGTGAAGAAGCCGCTGCCAAGTCAGGATTCCACCCATTATGTTATCAGCAATACACAAAAGCTCAAAGTCTAAAGACAAGGATACAAGATTTTCTAAGCTTCTAAATATAAAATTAGCTGCTAGTCAAGAGAAAATGCTTTGAGGACTCTTTAATAAGAATTTTTGAGAGGTGCCTAAGTTTAGATTTAGAGCACTCTTTCAACATCTTAAACACAAACTTGCAACATCTGCCAATCAAGTTGAGTGAGGGTGGACCGGGCCCATCTGGAAATGACTGTGTTCTGAAAACTTGTATTTGGTGCTCTGGTCTTCCGTTTCCCATGCCACGTGTGCATACACACATACTACATGGGGCAACTTAACGTCCCGCCACAAAGAGACGTTTTGAAGTGGAATCTCAAAACTTCATGGTGACCCTTTCAACCACACCCAGATGAAGCCTATGGCATTCGGTGGGCATTAAGAAGACTGTCCTATAGAACACAGAAGGTTAAGCAGCCCAGATCCTCTTCTTCATTAAAGCTCACGTAGCTTATAGAAATATCAGACTGAATTTTCTTCACTGTGATGCAAAGACTCGAAACACATGTGTAGCAAAGTCTCACTTGAACACAGGACTAATATTCCTGCAGCAAACATTCTAAGCCATTTCCTAATATGCAAAACAGGTTTTTAAAATCAGAAGACAGTGGCACTAGTCCTATTTCCTGCAGATGCTAATGACATTTTACTCCTGTGCAGCAGTTCCAATTTAAATTTGTCATTATAGCATGTTCCTACAGTTATTTGTGAAAGTCATTTGTGTTTGGGCCTTTTCTTGTAGAATAAATAAATGTTGAATTTTGAGTATTTCAAGTCTTAAAAGCACAATATTCTTCCAATAAAAGGGGGTTATCCTTGAAAAACAAGTACCTGACAGTGCTGAAGAACACTGCTGTCAAGACCCATGATCTCAGGTACCAAACACAAAAGGGAAATCCTAGCTGGTAACAAGTCTGTACCAACCCAATGGCCTTCAGAGCTTTAGAAGTTCCTCACAGAATCCAGAAAAGCTGCTCAAAGGGAAATGGTAGTTGAAGCAAACTAGCCCAGCTTTTGTTGATGTGTAAGCTCAGCTTTCACCCAACTGACACCTCTGCAAAACAAAGATACCACGTGTAATAAATCACCTCCTCACATTTAGAAGCACCCTGATAATTTTCAAATATAAAAATTAACAGTATGAAGAAGGTTTGACTACTAACTGTATCTTTAACCAAAGTCAAGACCACCATATAATTTTTACTTTTATTAAGTTAGCACAGAATATACTCAGTACCACAAGCTCCATCCCAGA